GACAGCCAGCATCAGTGCTGTCTGCCCAGCCTGCAAGGGAGGAGACACTGCCAGGCTGCTCCTCCCGGCTCTGCCCGCTGCCCCAGGAGGGACCACCACTGTCCCCACCACCCCCGCGGGCTCTGAGCACCTCCCTGGCCTCGGGTGTGGGTGAGACTCAAGAGCCCTGATGCCAGGCAGAAGAAACTCCTTATGTGGTGCCCTGTCCCCATGTACTGGCCCCTCCAGAGTTTGGAGCCACAGTCCTGATCTTGGAGAAGTTAAGTGTGGCCTTGGCAGCTTCTTGGGGGCAGGGCGAAAGGGTGATAAGGAGGGCAGGGGGATAAGGTGGGGCCCAACCCACACCCACCTGGCTGGCTTTGGCGTTGACGTTGCCCATGCTGAAGAGCCTCCTGACCACATTCATGTCATCTTCCTGCTCAACGGCTGCCAGTGCTGCCAGCATGAGAGCTGTGTAGCCAGCTTTGTTCTGGTGGTCCACGTTACAGACCCCTGTGGGGATGGGCAGGGAGGGGGGCTCAGGGTGCTGCAGGAGGCATGGGCTGAGCCACATGCCTCCCTCCAGCCCTGCCCAGGATGCTGTGAGCTGTCCCACAGCACCATGGACATGGACCTGCTGATGGGTCCCCCACATCAAATCTGGGCTCTCAAAAGGCTGGAGTGGCTGCCCTGCTTCCCCCCACTTCCCAGGGAAGTTCTCCCCACCCCTCTGCTGTCAGAGCCTTCTCCCCTACAGAGCTGGCATGGTCAGGAAGTGACCTGGGGTCCAGGGTGGGGTGGTGACGGGAACCTTTTGGGGGGTGGGGGGCAGTGACCTGTGTCCAGCAGCAGCTGCACAATGTGGAAGTTGGAGTGGGAGACACTGTAGTGCAGGGCTGTGTTGCCGTTCCCGTCAGCCAGGTTCACCACGTGGGCCAGGAGAGCTGGTGAGACCTCAGCAAAGGCCAGGAGGTGGTTGGCAACGGTGTCGGGGACAGACGACTTCTGGCTGGACAGACGGAACCACTCCTGCAGGACCAGGCTGCTGCTGGCAAGCTGTGGGCAGTGAGCAGGGCTGAGCAGGGGGGCTGCATCTCCTGCCAAGCTTCTGCATGGCCCAGCCCCCCCCTGCACCCACCCCCCTGCTGTCAAACCCGGCAGGGTGCAGACATCCCACTCCAGAGGGGACTGGGTGAAGGCAGGACCCTGAAACCCCAAAACCACACTGGGATGGCCCGAGCTGAGGCCACGTGGCTTTGGGGATATCTGGGACAAATCCTGGAGCAAAGGGCTGTGCCAGGAGGGAAGGGGCTGAGCTGGGCTTTACTGGCTCATCTCTGGGGAGGGCCATCCCAGAGGGGACCCCAGCAAGCCATCCCACCCACAGCACCCCACTCACCACCTCTTTGCTCTTGGTGGCACTAGGGTGGCCCAGATGGGTCTTGACGATCAGACAGGCCTCCCGCATCCTGGGGCTCAGCTCAAACCTGGGGAGAGCAGGAGGCGGCTGCGTGGGGCTGCGGCGCCACGAGGGGCACCCGAGGCCCCCACGGAGGTTTTGCTCCTCTCCCGGATGCCTGGGAACCTCCAGGACCTCCCCGTGGTGCCACGTCCAGCCTGGTGGTGCAGCCTGGCAGCTTCAGCCACTGCCAAG